AATCTAGATGAATTGCAAGTTTAAAAAAATTATTGAAGAGAATAGTCATGACTTCTACTGATAGATCCTTTTTTCCTAGTCACCCCATCTATAAATGCATAGGCTGTGGATTTAAAAAAAAAATTGATGCTCATCACATCATTTTAAGTATTAAATATTTAAAACTCCATAAAAATCATCACTTCTTAGGCTTTCTTTAAATACATGCAAAACCATCTTTAATTGCCTATGAAGCTGTTTTCCCCAACTACATGTCAGCCCTACACAACAAAGACAAATAAATGGAAACCCAGGACAACAAAGACCATACATCATGATATTCCAACAAACCTGCCTCAATGAGATGAAAAGTGCACACACAGGTTAGGGGGAAATCGATAAGTACTGAAATAAAGTTTAGCATGTGGCCTCATTGGAAAAGTTAACATTCAAACAAGTGTCATTTCCTTCTGTATCACTTCACTTACTTTACACCTGCTTTTCTGAAGCTCAGCACCATTGGCATTTTGGGCCCCTGAGAATTACGTTGTGCCTGTTGTTTGTCCTGTGTACTGTAGGCTAGATAGCAGCATCCTGGCCTCTGCCCATTACATGCCAGTAGAATCCTCAGCCCCAGTTGTGGCATCAAAGCATGACTCCAAACTCCACTAACTGTCCCACAGAGCAAAAACACACCCAGTTGAGAGACACTGCTCTACACTAGAGCAAACCCAAGAGTTAGAATAGATGAGTCCTAACATTTGATTTTATTTGAAGTGATTTCACAAGAGACACAGAATACGTGAGTTAGTTGTACTCACCACGTCAGGCCTTGTAAATTGAGTCAATACCACTAGGAAAACGTGATTATCCATTTTAACAGAAAAGATTCAAAGGATGTTGTGTCAACAGCATAAATGCTACTAGCACATGCCACACCATCCATTGCCTCTTCAATAGGGAAAGCTTTTAAACAGATAAAAAAGATAACCAGGGCCCCTTAAAACTCTTAACATGGGTATCAGAAATGGAATTGGTGACTGCATAGTGAACTGCCTAGAAACTGCTTATCTCTGCTTGTGTAGAAGATCTGATTAATTTAAGATGAAAAGGACCAATCTGAGTAGGAACACACATAAGAAGTTGAGGCAGATGGCCTAAAATTTTTTGCAGGAACAACTCATTAGCAGACCCTACTTCTTTTCTCATGCCTCTCTCTTCACCTAAGCAAAGCTGTCCTTTTCTTGAGAATTTTCAGAAAGCAGCTCGTTTTACATGCCCCCTAAAAATAAATCAATTTATAAAGTAAAATCAGAACAAACAATGCCCATTTAAAGATATGCATTCATCTTAAGCATAAGACAAATTTCTTATGCTACTTCAAAGCAAGATTTAATGTCCTCTTTATATTTATAACATATCAACCACACAACAGACATGACGTTTTAAATAGCAAGTCCATCCAGAGTACAGATGTTGAATCAAGGCCAAGAAGACTGTAGCTTTGAAGGATACCTGGCACTCTGAAAATACAATATCCAAAACTGTGCCTATGAAAAGCAAAATCTAATTTTTCTCAAGAAATCTTATTTGAAGGTTTTAAAATATCTCTTCTCTTTGCACATGGTAAATAATGTTTAAACCTAAACAGTAACAAAAGTGATGCTTGAAACATTTTATAGCCACATGCCAAAATTTCAAGGATTAACTCATAATGTTTTAATTCCCACAATCTGATCGAAATGGTCTTTGTTTTCTTTCTCAGCGCTTGAGTTTTTGCTTTTAAACAGACACGAGGAAGAAGCAGTCGAAACCAGAACAGCAAGTACTAGGTTTCTGATGGCAACTATGTTTGTGTTTCCTTCTGAATTAGTTCTTTAAAAAATTCCTCTACTTCTCTCTTAACACAAAATTGAAACCACACTACAGAGTTTATTTCCTCCCCTTTTCACTTAACATTTCCCCATGTCTTTAAATGGTCCCCGAACAATTTTTAAAGGCCACCCCTATGAATTCTATGGTGATATTATTTAACTGTTTTCTATTTTAGGGATTTTAAAGTTGTTTTCAATATTTTGATCTTATTGCTGGGATGAATTCTCATACATAATTATGTTGGCATCTCAGGTTATTTAGGATAAGTTAATTTATTAGGTCAAATGGAAAGGACATTTGTATAGTTGTACAAAACAAACTGTTTTCCATAAAGATTATGAAATTTACACTTCCATCATTCGTTGAGAATGCCAATTAACTGAATATCAAAATATAATGGACATTTTCTTTTTCAAATACTTTAAATATAAAAAAGATCATATTGTTTTCATGCATATTTATTTAATGAGATTGAACTTTCTTATACTTAGTATTTATAATTCTACCTTTTCAAATTGTCTGTTTGGTATTTAATTCATTTTGCCATGGCAGGGTTAAGGTTTTTTTTTTTCATATTAAACTATTATGATTTAATGTAAAAATATATAATTCTTGCTGATAACAGCTAGGAAGTTTTAATTTTTATGTTGTCTAACCAACCTTTTCCTTTGTGATCTTCCCACTACATTTATGCTTAGAAAATCCATTCCCATGTCAACCTAACCATTGACATCTTTTCCTTTAGTTCCTTGGTTTCATTTTGACATCAATATTTTTAAAACACCTGGAATTTATTTTTGTTATACTATGAGAAAAGTGATTTAATATCTGGTAGCATGAGAGCCCGTTAATCATTATTTCCAAAATTTTCCTGCCTTTTTTCCCCCAGATTAACTTTTAAAATCACTTTGTCATGTGTCCATCCCCCTGCCCCTCCAAAAATAATTTAGATTCTTATTAAAATTATAATTAAACTATAAATAAAAATCAGGAAGAATGTATAGAAGAATGTTGAATACTGCTGGTATCAGGCATCCTTACCAGATTATCATAGAAATACTTCCAGTATCTCATCTGTATACCAATTACACTGTATACCAGTTTCAGAGAGGATTTTTTTAGTTTGTTAGGGAATTTTCCATTTTTATTACTAAATCTCTAATTGAATTCATATTTTGTATTCTGTCAAGTGTTTTTGTGAATACTTTGGGGGGTTATGTGTGCAATAACCTTATCTTCTAGATCCCGTATAGTAACAGGTTTCTTTCTTTCTTCTTTTTTTTTTTTAATACATTTTATTGATTTTTTTTACAGAAAGGAAGGGAGAGGGATAGAGAGCTAGAAACATCGATGAGAGAGAATCATTGATCAGTTGCCTCCTGCACACCCCCTACTGGGAATGTGCCTGCAACCAAGGTACATGCCCTTGACCAGAGTCAAACGTGGGACCTTTCAGTCCGCAGGCCGATGCTCTATCCACTGAGCCAAACCAGTTTCGGCTGACAGGTTTCTTAACAGTAAGTCATCCTTTCATTGCTGTCATAAATCCTTCTCATAGCAGTGTATTATTTTTTAATAGGTTAATAATTTTGGATTGTCTGTGTTTTAGTCAACATTTTTTCCATATAAATATTTCTAGTCTGGAGTTTTTTCAAAGATAAATTTAAGATAACTATTAAATTTTCAATGATTTCTTTTTCAATTGGACATTCAACTTTTTTATTTCACTTAAAATTTCCCTACAAAACATTCATTTGGAGATTTCCAAATAAGTTTCAATTTTAAAAATCTCATCTGTATGTATTATTTATATGCCACTTAGGTTTTCTAATTTGGCATACTTATAATTTTCCTTTTTTCTTTTATTAGGCATCTTAAATACCTGTCTCTCTAGTTCCTATTCTCCATGTGCCCACCAAGAATTAGCTATTTGACTTATCAAATCTCTCTTTTTCCTTGTGGTCATTTACTTGCAGAATAAATCAGCTTGTAAAGTGGCTATTTCCAGTCATCTGAATCTGTCTTGGGGCAGGCTGCCTTCTAATCATTAATTTGTTAGAGAAGTCACAACTTCATTAAACTCTACTGGAGTTTTTGGAAACTATTTTTTAAATTTTGTTAATGATTCAGGAAGCAACATAGTAACTAGATCTGGTCTTAGAAAATGATTTTTCCCCCTACCAGAAGACATTTTTGCTCCAGTGTTTAGTATTATTCATTTTCAGCACTACATGAGCCAAACACTTCAAAATAAATTCTTTTCAAGAAAAGAAACAAAATGAAATGAAGAAACAAAGTGAATACTGGAAACTATGTTTATACAATGTAAATATAAACAATTTAACCTCATTGAAACTAGGGAAAATACACTTCAGAAACCACATGTTTCTTTTTAGGAATGATAATCTGATTGTGGCAAAACTCAGTATTTTTGTAACTGCTATTCATGCGTACTTGCAATTTGCCCTTTTTTTTTTTTTTTTAGTCCATTAGAGTTTCTGGTATATTGTTACCATAATTTGGCATTCATTTCCCTGTGTAATTTATGTGTGTGTGTTTTCAGAAATGCTAATTAATTACCTCCATTCTTCTGTATGAAATTCATATGAACATTCTCATGAAAATATTTTCCTTTAAATGCATTTTCCATATTATACACAAGTGGGGAGGAAATGCTTTGCTAAAAAAAAAAATGCTAAATATCTTTAATTTTTTACTTCTGTGGCATTCCCAAACCCATGATGACTCTATTAGGCAGTAGGTGTTCTTATTCTTCAGTAGAGAACATCCCCACTTAATGTAGGCAGCCTCTTCAACGGACACTTTTCCCTTACAAGTTTACGTTTCCCTTCCAGTGTCCATAAGGATTATAGAATTCTCTCTATATAATTTTGAGACATTTGTGTAAAGAGACAGGTGAGCTGCTTACACCTTTCATGATAAAGGCTAGTTCATACACATGCATGCATGCACGCATGTACACACACACACACACACACACACACACACACACACACACACACCTGTCAAGTAGAACTACTAAGATATCTAGCAGATACAAAGCTCACATTGTCAAGCATGTAGCTGCCATGGATCAAGGAGAATTGAAAAGTAAGGCGGGGAGCTGGGGGCCAGCATCACCGTACCTGCTTTCCGTCCAGGGTGCAGAGCCTCTTGACCACTCCTGAGTCTAGTTTAATGGCTTCGGTGATGTCGGTTAAGACTTGTTCAAAGGAATGTGCGGTCTTCTTGTTCAGGAGGATCCGCACGGCTTTCCTGGGCTTCACTCCGCTTCGAATCACAGTCACCAGCTTGGGTTTGATGAAATCTTTGCTTTCCTTCACTTCACTTTTCACCGAGGTGGCAGCGGCCAAGGCTCGGGTGGTCCCGCCCTTGATGTTCACAGACCAGTTCGGGTTAATGTTTTTGGTGTAATCAACTTTCCGAAATGGTTCGTTTGATGCACACACGTAACTCTCACCTAGAAAAGCAAACAGAGGTTTTATTAGCATGATTTCCCCACCACGGGAGGACAAATGCTGGACACCCATCGAATATCGAAGGAACCCTTGAACTGGACGGTTCACTGAAGGGATCCATGCCTCCACCCCTCTCTGGCGCTCTCCCCACCCTCCCTTTGCTTTTATTTTATTTTTAAAAAATATATTTTATTGATTTTGTACAGAGAGGAAGGGAGAGATAGAGAGTTAGAAACATCGATGAGAGAGAGTCATCGATCAGCTGCCTCTTGCACACCCCCTACTGGGGATATGCCCGCAACCAAGGTACATGCCCTTAAACGGAATCGAACCCGGGACCCTTCAGTCCCCAAGCCGACACTCTATCCTTTGAGCCAAACCAGTCTCGGCCCTCCCTTTGCTTTTAGCAGCATCTATAATAGGTTGGTATTGGGAATGACATGCGTCGCAAAGTGAAAATCCCTGGACAGAGAGATCAGGTTTTGTTCTGATCCAAAGTGTCTTCCTGGAAAGTTTCTCTGCAAGCTGGGTCTCAACATCATTATTGGTAATGTGAAGTGGTTGCCAACAGATGAATTCTAAAGTATCCTTAGTTCCAAAGTCCATTAACTAATTTAATTTTTAAATAAGAAATAATTATATCGCAAAATAATAGTCATATAAATAAAACTATTTTCCTCCTTCTTCTAATTATAGATTTCAGTCCCAATCAAAGAACCATCACCACGACTTCACATAATTGGCTAAATTATATTCAGTGACAGGATCATTTACTCAATTAATGAAGCACCACAAAAAAGGAAGAAGAGAGTTTTGAAAGCTCAAAGAAGCATACCTCAGCATTTTTTCCTTAAAGAATGTGGATTAAGATAATTAGTTTAAGTAGATACCCTTTTCTATATCTATTTAAATGGGAAAGGATATTAAGTAGTTAAAATGATGTGTTCATCACACAGTCTTCTGCTCAATTTTTATTAAGAAAAACATAAAAACTATACTATGTCAATTGATTTACTGAGTTAATGTTCATTAAAGATCCAAAATTATATGTTGAAAAATATATTTTGATTGAACAAGCATAATTATAAGTTTAAAAAATAATTTTTCCTTTGTGAGATTCAGAAGCCACCAATTTAATCTCAACTTTTTGGCATCCTATCTAATAAAAGAATAATATGCAAATTGACCATCGCTCCAACACACAAGATGGCTGCCCCCATGTGGACACAAGATGGCCACCACAAGATGGCCAGCAGGGGAGGGCAGTTGGAAGGGACCAGGCCTGCAAGGGAGGGCAGTTGGGAGTGATCAAGCCTGCAGGTAAGGGTAGTTAGGGGTGACCAGGCCAGCAGAGGAGGGAAGTTGAGGGTGACCAGGCTGGCAGAGGAGGGAAGTTGGCGGTGATCAGGCCAGCAGAGGAGGGAAGTTGCGAGGGAGGGGACTCAGGCCTGCATGGGAGAGCAGTTGTAGGGAACAGGCCTGCAGGGGAGGGCAGTTAAGGGCAAACAGGCTGGCAGGGGAGCAGTTAGACATCAACCAGGCTGGCAGGGGAGTGGTTAGGGGGTGATCAGGCTGGCAGGTAGAAGCAGTTAGGGGCAATCAGGAAGGCAAGCAGGTGAACAGTTAGGAGCCAGCAGTCCTGAATTGTGAGAGGGATGTCCAACTGCCCGTTTAGGCACAATCCTACCTGGCAGTCAGACAGTCGGACATCCCTCAAGAGGCCCAGATTGGAGAGGGTGCAGGGAGAGAGTGCAGGTTGGGCTGAGGGACACCCCTCCCATGCACAAATTTTGTGCATTGGGCCTCTAGTATAAAATAAAAGTTACAATTTAAGAATTTCTCTAAGATATCTTCTAACTCAAAAAGAATCCACTTTTCACTCATTCTGTGTAATAGTTGCATTCTTAATATTATAATGATAGGATACAACCCTTAAATTCTGTGAATGCTTAAAACAAAAATACTGAAGGAGAAGTCCTGAGGAAAACCTAATAATACACATATGTTTAATTATTACCAGCATGTTGTTTAAATCCTGATTACTGGAGAACTTAAAGACTTACAATGGCACACGAACAAGTCAGTCACAGATCAGACATATAAAGGGCATAAAAAGAAGTGGTATAATGGGGTCCCTATCCAAGAAAACTAGGGCATGGGTCACAGGCTTTAGTGCTGCGTCCACACCAGTAGTTTGAAGTCCAGCCCAAACATCACCATTTAGAGATTTTTTTCACCACTGTGGGTTTATCTAAATAATTTTTCATAGTGTAATCATCTGGGAAAGTGTCACATATTTTCAAAATAGGTATGAATTTAATAAAATAGAACCATATAGCATGTGCATGCATTAATGAGCAAAAAATAAAGTTATGATTTTGTTTTAACTTTACAGAGAAAGCAACTCTCCCACTGAAAAGCTCTTACTCATTTTACCTATGATAAAAAATTAAATTGTATGTTCTGATCCAAAAACACTACAATAAAAAAAGGAACCTCAGCAAGAAAAAGGTGATTTTCTTTTAAGATCAGAGAGAAGTCAGCTGGAGAAAAGCCTTTCCCAACAGAAAGAGGAAAAGACACTGGGGGAAAAAATAAAACAAGAAATATTTAATATGTCAGATTTCCTTGATCAATATAGTCCCTGCACAGTTGACATATTAACCAAGAGAGCTGCCTTTTAAATCTTTCTGTATTTTGCCTCATTACATGGGTTCAGAATATCAAAATGAAAATAGGCAAAGGACGCCTGTCTTTTGTTTTTGTGCGGTTACAGATAAATGTTCATTATCTCTTCTTCTCCCTTCCTTCATATTTCTATTTAAAACTCCTAGATCAGTTCCATAATAACTTGATGTACATTTTTGAATCAAGACTGGCCAGTGCCTGCTAGAGAGAGCCTCATCCCTTCTCCACATTCACAGGAGACGTAAATAATAATTCATAGGGTACTCTTCTATTAAGCCTAGATTGACCTTCACAATATGCACTGAGGACCTACTATGCACCAGCTTGTGTGCTAGGTGCTGACATGATATGAAACCTACTTTGGCATCCTTGTCACTCAACATTTTAACATGGCTATCCAGGACATGGTTTTGAGGTTAGCTTTGTGTTTCTTTATCCTTGGCACACAAAACCTTACAGTATAGATTTCATACCTTGGTAACAATATCACCACAATACCCAGGCCAGCTTCCCTTGTCATGTTCCCACCCAGGCCAAACAACCTGTTTGTAATCTTGTCACTTACACAGATTTGCCTACAGCAAGAGCTTTGCCTATGTGCTGACAAAAGAATTTAAGATCTTGGTTCCTTGGGCAGTTTCACAATAAATTATTATTCTCTGTTAGATACTAGACACCTACAAGATTGATTAGAAGCAATGAGCCTCGCCCCAACCAGGTTCATGCTACTGTGTGGAGTCTTGTTTAAGATTTGTTACTCCCCTGCCAGCTAACCACTGATCCCTCCTCCCCATTTTGGACAGCAACTTCACTTCCTACTCAAACTGTCAGCTAGAAACTTAGGGGTCAGCCTTCTTTCTTTTGGTTCCCTAAATACATCCTGACATTGAGTTCTGTCCCCTCTATCCTTTAAATATTTCTGAAAATACCCTTCCTATCTGCTTTCATCACCACCTGCTTCCTTCCACGATCAGTGTAAGCATATTATTTCTGCTCATTCCCAGGAAATATAACAAGTTTTCCAAATGGAGGTACATTTTATGCTACTGATACAGCTGAAAAAGTATATCCTGAAGTCTGTTAAAATACATCATGAGAGAATTTAACTCTTCCCAATATATGGTAATATTGGACTTGCCAAAGCAAGGAAAGGATAAGATCTCATTAAAAACTAGTTAAACCAAGATATAAATGTGTAAATATACATATACACACACACATATATATACACACACACACATGTATGTACTATATATATAGTACATATATATATATACACACACACAAAGAAAATTATACACATAGTACATGAAATTACACACACACACACACACACACACACACACACACACACAGAAAATTAAGCAGTCTCTAAAGTCCAAAACTGATCTAACATTCATAGCTAGACTTAATGTGATTTCAAGCTGGTCTGATGCTCACAATCAGACCTATGTTCTCCCGGGGGATCTAATCTCACAGAATAGCTATGTCAAACAAAATCACTCTGAGACTATGATAAAGTGACACAAAAATTAGGTCACTGTGCAATCCACACGATATCAAATAATCCCAAATATCCCTTTCTTCCACTCAATGAATGACAACTTCTTTATCAGTTACAGCTTTTTCCTCAATCTAGTTTGCTCTCCCTGTAAGATTTAATGAGATACCCAATTACAGAAATGCCCTTCCTTTTGACAGCACTCACTACAGAATGAGTCACTGCTTCCTTAGATCCTCCCTAAAGTATCCAACCGAAGCCCCAATTCTAAGACAGATCCAACACTCTTCCCGAAACACCCCATAATGTCATCTTATGCCCGTGTAGCCCTGATGCAGTGACTAATAAACCAAACCATAGTTGTATTCTTGGCTGAAGAGAACTGCGATATACTCTTTGAAACCAGCTCTTTGACCATAAGATGCTAAGAGGAAACCATTTTGAAAACTATAATCATATGAGTGCTATATACAAAGAGGTTTTGCTTTCTATACAGAAAGAGGATAGATAGAAGCTTAAGCAGGTTATACCACTTACTTGTCTTCAAGCATGGTATAAAACAAAGTCTTTCAATTTCCTTTTAAGGTTCTCTCCAGAGCCATGGTTGTGGCTTTTCCCCATTGACATTTGTTCAAAGACATTTTTTATGACTATATTTAGAAGGCTGACAAATTAAGTGTTCACAACAGTGTAATACAGCCTGGGTACTTCTTAACCATTAATTTTTATCCCTAAACAAATTAACTACCTCCTATTTAAGAGGCAAAAGGCTGTTAAAACTTAAGAACTTGCGAATTTCCTGTTCTCTGAAAA